GGGTCTCTTTAGGGATTCCCACACGCAAACCAACATGCCTTGCCAAGTATATAGCATTTGAAGAAGTCTGGAACAGAGAGAGAGAAAAGAAAAACAATTTCCTCTACAAACGCAGGAATTAAGAACAAGCACAAAATACATGGAAATGGTGGCGATTCATCAAAAATGATAAACTATATGGCTCTAAGGTAGGACACAATGCAGATAGGTACAGAATATGCTATATAATTTGTGTTTATAATTTCAATAAAAACTGTAATTTGGTCAACTGTTTTTTTCCCCATTGTTTTATTGTGGTAAAATACACATAACATAAAATTTACCATCTTATCCAGTTTTAAGTATACAGTTTAGTGGTATTACATATGAGTACCTTTGTAGTGTTGTACAAGCACAATCAATTGATTTTTAAGCGTACTAAGTACACGTGATACTTAGAGAGATCCTTATATTAAGTCCTCAAATATAAGACAGAAATTCATAACAATTAGAGCTGTTTAAAAACAGAGTAAGCTATCTGAAAGTACCTATATTCCTTAAAGGAATTAGTATCCCAGGCTGTGGTTTTCAGTCTTGGCTGCAGGCTGGAAGAATGCAGGAAGCTTTATTAACATGCTTATGCTCAAGCTCCTAATCAAACCAATTAAAATCAGAGAGGCTGGAAGGGGGGCCTGGGCATGAAAAATTACTTTAAAAAGCATCCCAGGTAATTCTAATGTGAAACAGGCTGAGAACTGCAGACTTAGGAAACAGAAGAACAACTGGTCAGGAAAAGGGATTGGACTAGACCACTGCTTCCCAAACTATGAAAAGCACACTACAGCATCTTGTTAAAATGTAGGTTCTAAATCAAGAGGTCTAGGGCTGCCTGAGATTGTGCATTTCTAACCATTTTCCTGGTAAAGGTGATGCTGCAAGAGCTTAGTACAGGAGAAAGAACACAGATCTGGAAGTTAGGAGATCTGCAGTCTAGCTCAGTATTGCTTCAGACCACCTGTGTCAAACTGGGCAAGTTTTTTTTGCGGGTGGGGGCGGCTGGCCGGTAAGGGGATCTGAATCCTTGACCTTGGTGTTTAACACAGTGCTCTAACCAACTGAGCTAACCAGCAAGCCCATACTGGGCAAGTCTTTGAAACCTCTGGAGGTTTCCTCACGTGGTAAGAGGTCTGGAATTCTACAAAATCTCTAGGGTTGCTTCTGACTCTTTAACATTCCATAAATCTTACTTAAAACTTATCTTTTAAAAAGTTCATAATTCTTCCTTATTATAAAGCTATTTTCATGTATTAGAATTTCTTAGAATAGAATACAGTAATACCATCAACACCAAGAATTTTAACACCTCTCACAGCAGTGAGGACATAAATATGCAAATTTTAAATACAGTTGATCCTAACTATTCACAGGGATTCCATATTTGCAAACTCACCAACTCACTAAATTTTATATTGTAACCCCCAAATCAGTACTTGCAGCACTTCCACATTCTTTTGCAGACATCTGTAGAGTGGTGAAAAATTTGAGTCGCCCAATGCACACATTCCCAATTGAGGCTAACTAGGCAATGCTCTGCCCTCTTGTTTTAGCTTTCATACTATAGAAAAGTGTCCTTCTTGAAGTCTTTTGAATGCCATGTTCTTTGCATTTTTGTGTTTTTTGTTGTGAGGCTAACTAGGCAATGCTCTGCCCTCTTGTTTTAGCTTTCATACTATAAAAAAGTGTCCTTCTTGAAGTCTTTTGAATGCCATGTTCTTTGCATTTTTGTGTTTTTTGTTGGTCATTTTGCTGTTTAAAATGGCCCCCAAGCATAATGCTGAAGTGCTGTCTGGTATTCCTAAAGTACAAGAAGGCAGTGATGTGCCTCACAGACAAAATATGTATTACATAAACTTCATTCAAGCATGAGTTATGCTGTTGGTTATGTGCTTAATGTTAATAAATCAACAACTACATTACATAAGGTGTTCTGAAACAAAAACAAACATAAAACAGGGTTATGTATCAACAGGTTAATAAAAATGTTCTGACCAAAGGCTTGCAGGAAACTAACCCTGTTTGTCCCCTGGGAGCATGATTTACTAGGACTAGCCTGCACTAGGCCTCAGCTGACCAGATCAAACCAGAATGCAGTCGCTTATGCCATATGATTAAACTGAACTTTGAAAGGATCCAGTTTTCAAGAAAACAGGAGATTCCAGTCAACCTGAATCGACATAATAAGGAAGGAAGTCCCCTCTGTTTTAACCCTATAAGGAAAGTAACTTTGAAACGACCAATCTGCTTTGTGTTCTGTTTCTGCTTTCTTCAGCCCTTTTCTGCTTATAAAGCCAACCTCCTCTGCTCAGCTCAATGGAACACTCATTCTGATTTATAGAATAAGGTATTGCCTGATTCTAGAATTGCAAATAAAAGCCAATTAGATCTTTAAACTAAATTTGTTGTAATTTTGTCTTTTGACAGAATTCCCTGATTCTATGTTCAATGTTCATGGCAACTATATAGAACATAACTACCGTGAGTAACGAGACTCAACTCTTCTATAAACAGCTGTATGCCAACGAATTAGATAACTTAGATGAAAGGGACAAATTCCTAGAAAGACACAAACTACTGAAACTGCTTCAAGAAGAAATAGATAGTTTGAACAAATTTATAACAAGTGAAGACATCAAATTAGTAATTTTAAAACTACCCATAGAAAAGTCCAGACTGGGGCCGGCCCGGTGGCGCACTGCTGTAGTGCGCCGCTTGGGAAGTGTGGCGGCGCTCCCGCCGAGGGTTCGGATCCCACATGCAGACCGGTTCCCGCTCACTGGCTGAGCGAGGCGCGGGAGCAACACCAAGGGCTGCGATCCTGTTGCCGGTCCTGGTCCGGTACGGGGGCGACACTGAGGGTTGCGATCCGTTGCCGGACACGGAAAAAGACAAAAGGAAAAAAAAAAAAGAAATTTAAAAAGGTGACAAATACCACAAATACCATAAAATCTTTTTTAGAAAAAATATATTACTATTATTGTTGTTATTAACTGACCAACCTATAAAATATTTTATTATATTGTTTTTACTTAATATTCTTTTATCATCACTTTATATGTTGAAGATTTTTTATTTTCTTTAGAGAGAATAGAAAGATTACTGCGTTTTCCTTTTTATATAATCATGTTAATTTTTAAAATACACTTCATTTTTCAGAGTAGTTATAGGTTCATAGCAAATTGAGCAGAAGGTACAGAGAATTCCCATATAGCCACTGCTACTACACCTGTGCAGTTTTCCCCACTATCAACATCTGCCACTGGAGTGGCAGCTTTTTGTAATCGATGAACCCACAATGACACATAATTATCAACAAAAAAGCCCAATATTAGGGCTCACTCTTGGTATTGTACAATCTGTGGATTCTGAAAAATGTGTAATAACCTGAATCCATTATAATATCATACAGTTTAACTGCCCTAAAAATCCTCTGTGCTCTGCCTGTTAATTTATTCCTTCTCTGATGCTCTTCCTTTGTCGATCTGAATGTCCGATCTATACAATTCTGCTTCTCTCTGAAGAAACTACACATTTTTTGCAAGGTAAGTCTGTTGACAACAAATTCCCTCAATTTTTGTTTGTCTTAGAAAGTCTTCATTTCTTCTTCACCTTTGAAGGATAATTTTGCAGGATATAGAATTCTGTTAGTGGTTGTTTTCTCTATATGTTTGAATATTTCACTCAACTCTTGCTTTTATGTTTTTGAGGAGGCATTGAATGTAATTCATATCTTTGCTCCTCTGTAGATAATTTGTTCCATCCCTTCCCCTGTTCTTCTTTCAAGAGTTTCTCTTTACCTTTGATTTTCTGTAGTTTGAATATGTTATGTTTAGTAGAGTTTTGTTTTGTTTTGTTTTGTTTTG